GACCTCAACTCCAGGAAGGGCGGCGGGCACGAGCCCGGGAGGGGCGCCGACTCGGGCGATGGCGCGGGGCACCAGGTCCTCCTGGCGGCCGCCGCCGCGGTCGACATGATGCCAATCATCTTCATCCAGTCGTCCTGAGGGGCCTCCAGCTCCGCGCTGATTCGCGTGCGAGACCAACCGCTCCTGGTCTGCGCCGAAGCTCGGGAACTCCGGCACGGCTGGCAGCCCCCCACGCTCATCATCAGCAGAAGCAGACCCCAGCTTGGCACACTCCTCGTCCAGCTGCGGCTTGAGAAAGTACAGGCCTCGCGAAGGGTTATCAGCCGGGTTCCTCTCGGACGGGGCCCAGCGGACACACGCGTGGAGGCGGCAAGCCAGGGTGAGGGCGCTGATCTCACGATGGACGCCCCGAAGCTGGAAGGCCGAGGATCGGCCCTTTCTGGCCGCAAGGGCCAGCCCCAGGTTGTCGACCAAGAGAAGCACACGATGCCCGAAGGCTTTCTGATCTCGAAGGAGATGCCGAAGGGCGTTGGAGAGAGCGAGACCCTCCAACCTCAGTATATTCGCTGGGCCCCGCCAGGGGAACGACTCGACGATATGCCACACCTCTGGGTCCGCGAAGCTCGCGTCGACCATGTCCAAGGCCCTCGCGTGCTCATCGGCCTGGCGCAGGCTGTCTGGCAGGTCGTCTAGCACCAGCATCTGCCCCAGCTCGGCGGCCGCCTCCTCGCCCCCCAAGGCGTGGGCTCGCGCGGCCGTAGCGCCCTGGCGGTGCCGCCAGCGCTCGGCCGTCCGCCCCCAGCGCGCGATCTCCTCCACGTTCGCCTCGCGCTCGCAGACCCCGCACCAGTCGGCGTCCGTGTGGGCCACCATCAACGGCAGCAGGTTCCTGACATGCCGGAGCTCCTCCTTCACCGCCGGCCACAGCTCGCCTCCCTCAGTGCCCATGGCCTTGATGCACGCATACACAGAGCTGAACACCGCCAGGGAGGACCGCTGAACCATCAGAATCCAGGTCGCACGCCCTACCACGATCTCGAGAACGTGCCCTGAGCAGGTGCGGCGGCCCAAAAGCTCATCAATGGCCAGCCTCAACCTCCAGACGCGCTCGGTGGAGACCCGAACGGCGTGCCCGCGCCCGTCAAACGAGAGGCCCGCGAAGTCGGCCCGGTCCACCGCCCCGTCGGTCTCCTCATGGATCGCGAAGCCCTGGCTGGAAAAAGCCTCCGCGACAGCCTGACCTGCGGCGCAGACGTCCTGCTTGGGCGAGCCCATCACCACGAAGTTGTCGACGCACGCAGCTGCCCCAAGCGCGCGCCCAGGCCCCAGCGGGCGAGAGGCCTCGCGATCCTTCACCAGGGAATCAGCGCGCTGGCCGCCGCGCGAAAGCCATTCCTCTGTCACCAGCTGGCAGAGGTGCGGCGCCCAGCTCCAGCCCGTCGGCAACACCGCCAGCACCGGAACCAAGAGTGTCGACGCGCTGCGGCCCCGCATGCCAACGGCGCCCCCGTGGAGCGCGGGGAGCCTGAAGCAGGGCCCCAACTCTTCTGGCACCTCGATGGCGTAGAAGGCGTCGCTGATGCCCCCACTGCTGAACCAGACGACGTCGCACTCCTGGGTCTCCAGCTTCGCGAGCGCTGCGGCTGAGGGCGGGCGCGTCGACGGCGGCGGCGCGAAGTCGCAGTTCGCCAGCCTGGCGTCGAAGATGATCCTCTGCATCTGGTTCTTTTTCTTCACGAAGAACAAGCCCACCGTTGCATTGCTGTCGTCGAGCTCCTCGGCGGGCACTAGGCGAGCCACGCCGCGACTCGCCAGCCCAGTCACGAAATCTCTATACACTCTGCGACACCGAAGCGCTGGGTCAAGATAAGGACGCAGAAGTCCGAGCTCAGACCGAAGGCCAGCCGCTGCAGCTGGAGGTCTTCGCACGTTGGCCGTCAGATCCCTCAACCAGGCAGGGTGCTCGGCTGGCAGCGCATCGCCCAGTGAAACAGGCTTCGCTCCCACAGCCGGCCAGGACACGGCGTCCTTGTTGTAGGACACGACAGTTGTAGCGCAGTCGCCGTACATGGCGGCGCTCCCGCAGAGCTCACGAAGGCCCCCGCGGCGACGCACATCTGCTGGACAGACACCCACAGGGCAATAGCTGCGCTCCAGGTGCTCGAGGCATCTCCGCTGCACAGCGCTGACGGCACCATCGCCAGCAAGATCGCGTCCAGCAAGTGAGTTGAGAGATTGGATGCCATCGTTGGCCCAGTCGAGCGCACGACGGCGGCGATGAGCACGACGGGCGACAGCACGGCAGCCAACGCCAGTCGTAGAAGGGACGGAGAGAGGAGGCAAGGGGAAGATGTCGCGCTGGCGCATCGTCACCTCGCGTCCGAAGATGTAATAGACTGCACGCCCGGGGCCAGGGAGCAGCAGGCAGCCTTGATCGATGAGGTCCTGGAAGAAGTTAGCCACCGTCCGCCCCCTTCGGCCCCTGGGGCTTGGCAAGCTGTCTCTCCTCCCGCGCTTTACGCCTCTCATTGGCGACGGCGCTCTCTCTTGCAATCTGCTCGCTGATCCAGGTAGAGAG